CAGTGCACGAAATTCGTGCACAGGTAGGGTCCCTAGGCCTGGCTGGTGATCAGGGCTGATAGGGGCCTTCTGGCTGCTGGCCAGGGCCTTCCTTCTGGCTGCGGCCGGGGCCTTCCTTGCCCAGCTGCCAGCTGCCAGCCGGGGCCTTCCTTTGTTCTGTGCCACTCCCTGGTGGTCAGCACACATCATAGCGAGCGATCAAATTCCCGGTCTCCCAGTCAAACTCCAGAGGGGACACTTTGCATATTAGCCTTTTATATAGATAGAGAGAAGATAGATGCTGAGTTCTATCTAGCAAGGTAGTCAGGATTTAGGAGAAATGCCACTTGTAATTTCCATGTGTGTTATTTTGGTTACCTCATCTCTTTCCTCATAATCTTTAGCAATAAGACTTTTAAAAAGGATGTATGTGTTTATCCTCCACAAAAAAATTATTAAGCTAGCCTATTCCACAACCCATCTTAGGGGAAGAAGGCCAAAATATTACTTGTGTAGTGTACTTGAGAAAGGAAAGGGATGCAGATTGAATCAGTATGTGGCCTTCAGAAAGCAAGAAGTATGCAATGATAAGCTCACATTGGCTTACGAAGAGCTCTGAGGATGTAACTATCAGGAACCACAAATAGTTCCTTAGAATAGGTAAACTGCACAAGGGCAAGGGGCTATGTTTTTAATAAATGTGGATTGAAAACACTGACAAATGAATGTTTGTCGCTACACTAAATGGTCCCAGGTCACTGTACTGTTTGATGTAGGTTTGCGTTTTAGGTATTAGACACTTACCTTTGACATAAAGATATGAACTGTTGCTTATGTCTAATGGCACCGCACCCCCAAACACAGCTTTTATAAAAGCTGATAACACTCCCTCTATCTTCTAATAGGATGCTTCTAATATACTCTGAGAATGCTAGACCCATTTCTAAAGAAAGAATTAAAATGCCCTAAGTGAAAGCCTGAGGGATTCCCCTATATAAGAAGAATGTCATATTACCACATAGCTCTTGCAACTTCCATTTTGCCTGCTCTACTGTTGAGTCGTTGACTCTGCTGCAGATTGAAGGTTACAGAGGTTGCCAGATAAGTCACCTCCAGTTAGGTGTTATGTTACTGGGACTATTTTTAACCTGAAACCAATAATACTTCTCTACAACCCACAAAATTAACATTCAAATGTCTTCTTAAATTGCAAAATGTCTTGAAAATGACAACTGTGTACCCAAACTACTGGTAAAGGCCACTTTCTAGTCTAGACACTTATCACATATCTATTTTTGTCCTCTTCCTTAAGACTTCAGTTGGCTCTCCTTCCTTATTCCATTTTGTCTATATTTTCCATGGTTCAAGTACTTTATCTTATTTCTCTGTCTTTAGGTGTTTCAAAGATATTTCCTGTATTTTGTAATCAAAAGGAAATGGATTTAACTAAGAAAATACATACAAAACTTTATTTTCCCAAAATCTCTTCAAAACAGGATGTTAAGAAAAACTTTGTACTATGAAAAATGGAAAAAAAAATAATCAAGGTCATTAACTTAAAACATTTTCAAGAGATTTTACTTGATGAATCAATTAGCTGTTAATGATTTTTTAACTAGAACTAAGTCTGCTAAAAGAAAAATTACAGCCCAGCTGGAGTGGCTCAGTGGTTGAGTGTAGACCTGTGAACCAGGAAGTCAGGGCACATGCCCAGGTTGTGGGCTCGATCCCCAGTAGGAGGTGTGCAGGAGGCAGCTGATCAATGATTCTCTCTCATCACTGATGTTTCTGTCTCTCTCTCTCCCTCTCCCTACCTCTCTGAAATAAATAAAAATATATTTAAAAAGAGAAAAATTACATTTCAAAGAGCATTCATGTCTCTGATACATGCATGATTAATTCTGCTTTTGTCAGTAAAACTGAAGCTATGAAACACTGCTTTTCCTGATTTACTCAAGCTAGTACATTTAGTAAAGCAAACAGAGTTTAAAGGCTACTTTCAGCAAACTATTTCAGAAATAAAATATTCCAAATATATTAAAAATAATTCCAATTAACTAATGATTGAGTTTATTAGAATCATTTATTGGGGAAATAACTTTTATCCATTTTTTTTCATTTAACATATCTAAATAATACTTCATATCATAAATTCAAGCAATGTGCTTGATAAGCTCAGAATATGTTCACCATTAAGTGACCATAAAAACATAATTTTTTAATACTGACTTCAAATAAGTTCATCCTGCCCTAACTGGTTTGGCTCAGTGGATAGAGTGTCGGCCTGCAAACTAAAGGGTCCCAGGTTTGATTCCAGTCAAGGACATGTACCTTGGTTGTGGGCACATCCCCAGTAGGGGTTGTGCAGGAGGCAGCTGATCGATGTTTCTCTCTCATCTATGTTTCTAACTCTCTATCCCTCTCCCTTCCTCTTTGTAAAAAATCAATAAAATATATTTTTTAAAAAGTTCTTCCCGCCCTAGCTGGTTTGGCTCAGTGGATAGAGCGTCGGCCTGCGGACTCAAGGGTCCCAGGTTCAATTCTGGTCAAGGGCATGTACCTTGGTTGCGGGCACATCCCCAGTAGTGAGTGTGCAGGAGGCAGCTGATCAATGTTTCTCTCTCATTGATGTTTCTAGCTCTCTATCCCTCTTCCTTCCTCTTTGTAAAAAATCAATATAATATATTTAAAAAAAAAAGTTCTTCCCATACTAGGAGTAATAGCATTACTCTCACTAAAATAAGTCTAACATGAATCTTTTCCCAGATACCAGATGCCTCATGATGCAATTTTCTGGATCACTCACAGTATCTTCCTACCTATATCATAACATACTCCAACACAATGGATATAGTCCATATTATAAACTGAATCACATGGCAGAATATCCTATATAATAAAAGCCTAATATGCAAATTGTCCCCTCGGACAGTCATTCCATTGGGAGTTTGACTGCTCGCTATGATGTGCGCTGACCACTAGGGGGAAGTGCAGAACATGGTGGGCATCAGCGACGCGCTGCGACCTCTCGCCAGCTACCTGGGGGTGGGGGTGATGGGGACGAAGGTGCAGTGAGAATGCGGGGTGTCCGCTGAGCTCGCTCTCACTCCTCCTGCTACCCTTCCCTGGGACACCAGGGCTTGTGTGCTGGGGAAGCCCCCAGGCTCAGGTGCCGGGCGCCACAAGGAGCCCACCCTGCACCCATGCAGCCTCTTCCGGGTGAACAGGGACACAGCTGCCAGGACCACAGGGGCCTGTCAGGCTCCCCATGGGTTAGCGCAGGAGCTGGTCCACAAGGCTGGCCGGG